GTCGTGGCCTTCTAATATGACTTTTGCAGATATGACTCAGGGTGGCCTTCTAATGGGGGTGGCCTTCTAATATGGGGTGGCCTTCTATTCTGGGGGGGGGGGGGGGGGTTATTTGGTTTAATGATGATCAAGAAGAAAAACAATGGTATGAAGAAATAAAAGAACGTCTTCAGAAAACAATAGATCAATCATTTCCAACTAATAATAATGGTTTTTTTTGCAAAAACATCATCACGTAGTGCAAAAGATGCTTGTATATTTAAACGAGATTTTCTTCAAATATACGAAAATGAATTATCAAAATTTCCTGATCCATCACAAGAAAATTCACGTATCATTGCACTTCTTACTGCTGCTCTTTTAGCATTACGTTTAACAAATGCTTCTGATATTCTTTCAATGTTTATTATTAGTGAACGTATTTATCAAGATATGTTATTAGCTACAGAAGCACAAAATCCTTCTGATGATTTATTTACAGAAAATATAATACTTCGTCCATTTATTCAAATTGATGTTGATATGAAATTTCGTGGTTTTGTTTTTCAACAACTTTTAACATGTTTATCACAATATAATTATTTAATTTATTCTCAACGTTTATGTCAAGAGAAAGATACAATTCTTGAAAAGATCACATTTTTTTTAATCAAATAGTTAAAACTAAATTAAATAAATATAAATCAAATAATTATGTTAGTGATTTTGCATTGACTAAAGATGGCAAGTTTATATGTAAAACTAAAATTTACTTTTATATTTTCATAATGATTCTTAGATGAAGAAAGTATCAATTCAATGAAAGTTTGGGTAATTGAATTAAATCCATTTATGGAAACAACTGATGGAGCTTTATTTAGTTGGCAACATGAACGATATTTATTAGAAGGGCAATCAAATCAAAATAAAGATAAAACTCTTTTTCGTATAACTGAAAAAGTACGTCCAGGATCTTGGGCAATGTTACCAATTTCAATTCGACAATGGATTAAAAATAATGATAATATTTAACAATTATTTTTTATATTTTTTTAATGAAAATGTTTTTCAAACGAAACAAGAAAAAAGAATTTTGATTTTCACACACACATTAAATAAAGATTGTCACAACAATAGTCGAAAAATAAATACAAAAGGTGAATTTATTCACCTATAATAAATATACATTAAAAAAGAAAAAGAAGTTCTATGAATTTTTAGCTGAAATAACTGTTCTATGTTGATGTCTCATCTCAACTAATTCTTTTAATAGAACATGTTTTTCTGTTTCTAATTGTTTAATACGATCGTCTTTTGCTTTTAATTGTTGTTGATATTGATTATTTGTTCCATTAAATGATGATGATGAAAGTGAACTAGATGAACGATCTGATGATTTACTAAAAGAAAATTTTATTTTTAATTACGAACCAAAAAAAGAAACAATAGAAGTTCTTTTTGTTACTTTTGAATCATAATTTGCTTCAGCAAGAACTGTATTTGCTAATTTAAGTAAATCAGCAACTAAATCTCGATTATAAATTGATTCTGGTGTCATACCAGTTGTCTAAAAAAATAAATATAAAATAAATAATTTTTATTTTATAGAACAAACTTCAGCTGTTGATAAATGAATACAACAAGAATCTTTCATTTCAAGAAGACGATCAGATAAATGAGGGGTGGACCTATCGGCGTAACCAGAATTTAGTAGGTGGCCTGGCGGCGCCTTATACCAAGTATAAAACCTATTCACTGTACCTTATGATTTTCTGATAAGTCAAAAATCAGTCTCTAATTTTTCACTTTCTTAAAAAGCAGAATACAGTGCAGCTCAATTGATTTTCCCCCTTTTGTATTTCGCACTTTAAACTATTAAAGTTTGTTGTTTTTTTAGTAAGAGTGTGGGTGTGGATGTGTTGTCCGCAGTAAAAGAAAACCCACACCGACATCCACACCTATACCCCACACCACCCACACCCCCCCCCCACACCCCCCCCCCCCCCCCCCCCCCCCCCCCCCCCACCCCCCCCCCCCCCCCCCCCCCACCCCCCCCCCCCCCCCCCCCCCCCCCCCCCCCCCCCCCCCCCCCCCCCCCCCCCCCCCCCCCCCCCCCCCCCCCCACACCCACCCCCACCCCCACCACACACTCATCCACACCCACACTCACATCTCCACCACACACCCACTCACATCCACACCCACGCATGAGCTGTTGCTGTTTCTATTCAGATTCATGATGATTCTATTAGGTTGGCAAATCGTATAAAAGTTGCAGAGCTGTTGGAACTTAGATAAAACACGCATTTCTCAATAATTTGATCAGTTTTGAGGAAGCACAGTGCTGTTTCACAGCTTATCGTGCCGGTTTGAATGTGAGGGTAGTAAAAACGCCAATGTGGAAAATTTCCCCACTGTAAGCGATTTCTAAGCGTTTTAACCTAATGTAAGCCGCTATTAAGCCCTTATATGTGCCGACATTAAGCTTCTGAAAATCAATTTATCGACTACAGTACTTAACTCAGCTTACGAAACAGATTTATAAGCACTATAAACCACTTATTCCATAAATCACTTAAAGCACTGGAAATTGAGTTATACTTAGGCACTGTGAAGTGCTTATTCTCTAAATCGCTTAAAAGTGCTGCAGTTTTTGTAACTTTTAAGCACTGAACAACATTCAGGATGAAAACCGAGGGAAAATGTTGTATTTTTTTTATTCTAGTGCTTTCCAGAAGTTAAAATAAGAAACAATCGGGACTACTGTAACTTTTTTCATATTTACTCTTTACAATTAGCGACATTCAAAATCACTTTTTGGACCGACTAGGATCTTAAATTGTTTCTGGTCCCGATTTTCTTACTAAAAGTAAGAGAACTTTAATAATCTGTATAACTCGTTGAGTACATATAAAATTCTGCTCAATGATTTCGACCCTTTTATATTGTGAGTGTCTCTTTGTATTCCAGCATCAGCATTACGAATGTACGAAATTAGTTGTTTTTGCTAAGATAAATTTTTCAATTGTTGTTTTTTTTAACTCAATTCAATAAACCTATAGACATTCTTTAATCTTTCATAATCAATAGTTTTCATCATGTTTTTTTTATGATGAAAAAATGACCATTTCATATAGGCTAGGGTATTTGTTGACTATATGACATTCCAATGTGATCAATCTTGTGTCTCAAAATCATTCAGCACTAAAGTGCATCCATTTTCACGCGTGTACTGTACAACACGTTTTGTGAATATATTTTCACCTTTGCCTAAAATTAGTTGATTAATTTTCGTTAAATATTTTAATATGTTTTATACAAACCAAAATAAATTATAGAGAACATTAGTGTTCAAAATATCTCTGGAATATTTTAGAACCAAATATCAATCTAACTATAGTTACTATCACAACATTTTATTTGATGTTCTATATATGCTACAGTGTATTCGAAAAATTTGTCATTGTTCACATCTCATCATCACGGACTAAAAGTGCAGAATAAAATTTGAGAGGCTGTTTTTTCGCTATTCATAGAAATGTGAAATATCAGTCTGATGATATATGAATAATGATGAAGTTTTTGAGTACGCTAGTAAGTTTACAGAAAATCAAGTTAATGTTTTTCGTTTTAATTAGATTTAGATAAATATCTGACTCTAAGATATTCCAGAGATATTTAAAAAGTGGCGCCCTCTATGATACATTCTGTCTAGTATCTTAAGAATAGCTTTTGCTGAAACGCTGCTCTTCGTACTTGTGAAATTAGAAAACACAAGCTTCATGTTTTTTTACAACCATCATTCTAACGTTCTTAGTTTAAAGAAGTCAGTATTATTACTGTTTTAATGGTTAGATTGCATACAATATCTGTATAGAACGGTGCATGATAGTTAGTATTGATTTATTGCATAATTAAACTCTATCATATAAATTCAATGATTTTAACAGAAATTATCTTAGAACATCTTATTCACAGTAGAAAATAATACATCTGTGGCTCATTATGATCGAGTATCTGGATATATGGGTAAGTGAACAACTTATTTTTTTTAAGGTCGATTCGTTTTTCATTTAGTCTGACTTGAAATTTTTGAGCTTAGTGAATCATGGAGTTGAGCTTAGTTGCCTGTTTTAGTCATAAGTGTTACATTCAACACGAAAAACGTGATTTGTTCTTCTATGTTAAAAACATAAACTGATATTATACTCGGAGACGCAGAAAGTCTTTGAGTAGGATTAACATTTTAGTTTTTCTTCTCGCTATTCAGTTTATTTTATGCATAGTTTTGTAGACGGTGTTGATTCCTTCGCACTATTTTTACGATAGAAAACTCGTATCAGATAATGTAAACATACAGATGTAGAACATAACACTTTTTCTAAATTATTGAGCGTACATCGAACAAAGAAAGTTGTAAAAGTAAACTTTTTTCAGCATCATCTTTTTACTCATTAATACTATCGATAGAATAGAGCTAGTAGATATATATATATATACATACGGTATACATATGTGAGTGCAAAACATGTACGTTTATTTTATCTAATACATGTTTCTATGCTAAAAATAGTTGAATATGTTGAAATCATTAACAGTTATCATCTCCAATTGCTGCCATAATGTGTTCATAGGTAGAGTACCGTCAGAATAGTATAACTACTGAAAGACTCCAGTTCTTGTCCGTGTCTATTTGATATTATGTTTACTACCGAATTCCTTCTAGATAAGCAGTTAAAAAAACATATTTTTCAAGTGTCCTTTGCGACTTTGTAAACAAAAGTCGCAATTGGATTATCTCATATACAGAGCTTCGTCAACTTGAAGTTTGCCATGCCAAGATATGAGTTTCTCAAAATAGCTGTTTCATAAAATATTAACGAGTATAAATTTTGAGAAACTCATATCTCGGTTTTGCGATCTTCAAAATGATGGAACTTTGTATATGAGATAATCCAATCGAGACCTTCATATTTACAAAGTTAGAAGTCAAATTTCAAAAATATGATTTTTTTTCTGAAACTGCACGCTCTGAAGAAATTTGGTACGAGACATTATATCAAATAAACATGGACAGGAATCGAAGTCTTTCGACAGTTATCCTGTTCTAATGGTACTTTACATATGAACAAAGTATGAAAGCAATTAGAAACGATCATCTATAGACCTTTGCTAGTTGAAATTCAGCGCTTAGAAGCGCTTTTAGGTAGCTTAAAATGTGCGCTTACAAGCGCTTATTAAGCTAAAATTTAAGCTACTTTAAGCTAGCTTTTTCGCTTAAATTTTCATATGGGTCATCAGTAATTTATGAAACTGATAATGGTTGCTCATATCTGGAATAATATGCTTTAATATATTACTTTCGAATTATTACAAAAGTTCCTCTACTTTTTCAACTATTTTGCAGAGTTTAGGAATTCAATCTAATAATAGATTGTAAAGACACCTAAAGAAGACCTCTTGCCAAGGTCGAATCGCGTCGTGCCGAGGCTTTCAATCTGTAACTCTAGAGTAATAGCTTCAAGATTTCTACATGTCTTCAAAAATTGCTTAATGAATGTAGAATGATGTTTTAATTGATTGTTTGATCGATTAAGATGTCTTGAGCCACCTGATGTGACCCTTGAAGAAGCTCAAAACCGGTCCTGGTAAGCTTTTCTAAATTTACCATCTGATTTTGTGAATAGAAATATGTGGAAATGTATTAACAATCCTTATATCTAGTTCTTCCAATCCAAATTTTATCGATTCTTTGAATTAAAAATTCTCAAATATAGATATAAGATTGAGGTTTACCACCTGATGAAGTCCCTTGCACAGACAGAAACAACCGTTGTCGTGGATCGGCAATATTTCTTATCACACACCCACACCTCATCCCGAATGCTTGAGGAGTCGTATAAGAGAAACGTGTAGGCTCATAAAAGTGAGAGTATTCATGCCATATAATATACATCATTAATATATCTACTTATAAATGCAAGCACTTCGTTCCAGCAATAATATTAAGACTGCTTATTTATGCCAATTATGATTTGCATATACATCCGGCGAGTCGCTTCCGAAAAACATGCGAGCTCTATCGGTAAGCTTGCGCACTGAAACAATAATCATACCAATTTTCCATTCATTCGACTGGCATTAAGACCATGTTGGAATCATAAGAAATATCGATCTATAGCACAAGCACACATATCAATACTGTCTATATCACTTCTGTACTAATGCGCTTCTATATTCAACTTCTTCTTCGGTCCTAGTATCTCCCAACACATGTCGCACTACTGAGAGTGAGAACGAAGAGACTTTCACATGCTGTCCAATCTTCCATTCAATGATAGTAACACAAAAGTTCGCTCATCGGGAAATCACGAAAACAATACTACACATCTTTAAATTAGTGAGAATTGAATTATAACTTCTTGAAAACTTTGGTTAGTTTTTCATATATATGTACTTGTAAATTTTGTATACACCCGTCGAGTTCTTTAAACAAGGACGGAACGCATGTGGTCTAATGTTTTGAAAGTAGAAACAAATTTTAAAAATCATAGTAAAAATTACGTTGAATTTCTCGAAATATGGTTTCTTAGCATTAGAATCCTTTTGAGAGTCTTCTAATTAAATGAATAGTTGTAAGTTTCTTTTCCTGTG